TCTGACGAGCGGGAGGATTTTTCAAACCTGGCGTTGTCTCACGAAAGTCTCCATCGTCGGCACTTCTGTTTTCGACTTGCATAATGTATGGATTTCACCGTCCGAATTTTGAGAACAGAGCTGGCGCGTATTTCAACGGATTCCTAGTCAGAGGCAGGAATTATCACTGAATTCAATGGACTTTTCAATAATGGTCGAATTCACAGCTTGCCAAGGAAATAATATCAACGACGCCAATTCGATTTTCGAGGACATCGTGGCTTTGTTGTGAAGTATATATGTATGTCTACATGAAATAGAACTATTCATGATAAAATTTTTCATATTTCAATTTGCTTTCGATTGATTTTTTTTTAATATTCAGCTCGAAGCATTTCTGTGTTTATTATAGAGCAGCACCTCAAGCACGTTTGTTCAGTCAGAGCCCTCTTTTATACAGACACGAAAGGTACGGGGCTCCCCACGTAGGAGGGCACGTACTTGACCACCGTCGGGACACACACGTCGAACTGGTGCTCATTGTCTTTGATCCGCGTCAGGGTTGATGCCGGAGACTGCACTTCGTCCCGATCGTCAGCTTGTCCAGGTCTGTTCTTGTCTTCTTACTGAATGTTTTTTTAAATATCCATTCTTTCTTCTCAAGTCGTCACTCATTTCATAGTACTTGTTATTCTACAATTATGTATTTTTTACCGAATGAATGCACACAAAAAATGACTATTTGGATATCGATTTGTATTTCGCTTTAGTTGAGAGGGGGATATATTTTGAACCACTCGGTGAAATCCTGCGCGCTTCGTGGCTTGGGAAAGAGGTACTACGACGTCCTTACGTGAACGTTAGCGATGGTTGCTTTCGCGGCCTGGTGTGCATGTCCTTGATACCGAGATCGACGGCTCGTGTTTCCATTACGACTCGGCCATGAACGCGGCGAGGACGGCATTGTTTGCGTCGTCCGCCGCCCACTTGTTGAGGAGCAGTTCAAACTTGGCGCGGCGATCTGCCACGAGCGCTGGGTTGGTGCGCTGCAGCGCGGTCCACACGCCCGCTTGGGGCATTCCCTCGCACCCACGCGTTTGGCACAACGTGTCGTGCAGTTGCTTGAACTCGTTGTACCGTTTCTGGACCTTGGCGCCGTCGTGGCGTTGGACTGTGTAATGCACCACACCCTGAATGTGAACAACATCGTCCAAGATCTCAAATGCCTTTGCTTGTGGTGCTTCGATCGCGTCGTGGTGCGTACCGACAGATGCAACGTCTTCGACCGGTCCTGGCGCGTCGACCAGCCCTGGCGACGGCACGCTGTCGTGCGCCGCCATCACTTCAACGGGCTCGACCGTCTTTGGAAAGTCCTCGAGCACCGGGTTTGTGTTCAAGTGCGAGGCGTCCACATCGACAGGTTCGGTGGCCAATGTGGACTGCAAACAGCCCATGGTTGGCCGTGTGTGTTGGTCGGGAAATTTCAGAGTATGCAGAACATGATGAAACGCGTCATGTGCTGTGGGGCTGGCCGTGGATGGACCGAGTGACCCGCAACTCATCCAGCGCGACTCACGTCGTGGTGCGAGCCTGCTGCGTCGCCCTTTGGCATCGCATGGCACGGCTAGAATCGCGGCGCGGCGGCGTCTCCGACCCTCTCTGCCACCCAAGTCCCATATGCCCCAAAAAAGAAACCTTTTTATCTTGCACTTTGTATGCCACCTGTTGTCGCGCGGGAGGACATTTGGAATCGGTGAAATCGGGTGGCTGGCCCTTGCAAAATGCACCACGACCGACGTCTCACGCCGCTCCAGCTGGGGCAACCATCCACACAGCTGCCGCGTGCTGCGCCGTGTGCCCTCGCTGGGTGTGCGTGCATTACGCTCAAGTGCCAAAAAACGGACCATGGGGTGCCGCCAGTCCACGGCGGCCAGTGCCCCAGCACCACACGGCCGCCCCCTCGTCAGGTACTCTGTCGA